CGGGTTTACACCTCGCGACATGTCTAATTTGTGGAAAACCAGTTTCCATTCCAAGACATGGTGAAAGCGAAAACCATAGAGATTCAGGAATAAGTGTTGCTGTCTGAACCAGTGGTCTCTCCGATTCGCATACCAGTGTCGAGTAATGGACCCCCCAGCTCAGACCTTCACCAACATCAACCGACTCCGCCATTGTCGTCGCCATCACCACAAGTATCATCTTCTTCCTCTACATCAAACTCTTCTTCTTCTTCCTCCTCTCAACTTTCTGAGCCCACTGTTCCATCCAAAAATGGGCCTCAAACCTCGACCCAGACTAACCAATCTCCAATAAAGCCCACTGCTCTCACTGAGAATGAATCGCAACTTACGGTTTAGCCACAGCCACCATCAACAACCTCTGCAAATCCTTTACTGCGATTCCAATCGCCGCAAAATTTTCGAATAACCCACGCACGTGAACCACAAAATCCATAACCGTAGAACCACCTCAAAATACCCACAAGATGAAAATCCGAGCCAAAAACAATATACCTAAGCCAAACAAAAGTTTAATCTCAATGTTGCAGGACCTCAATACTCCAAAAAACCCAACACCGTTGCTCAAGCGATGAAAGATGAACACTGGCATGGCTCAATGTCGGATGAATATAATGCACAAGTTTTCAATCATTCATGGGATTTAGTGCCTCCACATCTTCTCATAATGTCATCAGTTGCAGTTTGGTGTTTACCATCAAGTATCATCCAGATGGTACAATACAGTGGGATAAATCACACTTAGTTTCCAAAGGGTTTCACCAAAGATATGGAGTAGACTACGCAGAGACTTTTAGTCCAGTGAAAAATTCCACCACCATCTGTCTTGTCCTCGATGTTGATGTGGCTCATTCATGGCAGATCAAGCAGCTCGATGTTAATAATGCTTTTCTCCAAGGTGAACTCACAGAAGAGGTTTACATGACTCAGCCATAAAGTTTTGTTGACAAAGATAGACCACATCATGTTTGTCGTCTCCGAAAGCCACTATATGGTCTAAAACAAGCTCCTCGAGCTTGGTATCTGGCTCTCAAAACACATCTTATCAACACCGGTTTTACAAAATATTTGGCTGACACATCACTGTTTCTCAAACAGACGGGAAAAGCTTTCACATATGTCCTAGTTTACGTCGACGATATACTTGTCACGGGGAGTGATCCAACATTGATTTCTGAGGTTCTATCTTTATTTTCTAACTGATTCTCGATCAAGGATCCCACTGATCTTGGTTACTTTCTAGGCATTGAAGTCACTAGGTCCAAAGACGGACTCCATCTTATGCATCACAAGTATATTCTCGATATTCTCACCAAAAATAACATGCTGGATGCCAAACTTGTTGCTACTCCACTTCCTTGCTCCCCAAAACTTACACTGACCAGTTGAACACCAATTGAAGATCCATCTCAATACCGCTCTGTCGTTTGAAGCCTGCAGTATCTATCTTTCACACGGCCAGACGTATCTTATGCGGTAAACTGACTGTCCTAGTTTATGCACAAACCGACTAACGAGCACTGGCAGGCTGCCAATCGAGTGGTTCATTACCTTTCTGGTACTCCGACTCATGGTATATTTCTCCGAGCTTCATCACCATTTTTACTTCATGCCTTCACTGATGCAGATTGGGCTGGTGATTTTGATGACTTTGTCTCCACAAATGGTTATGTCATTTACCTCGATCGTAATCCCATCTCCTGGAGCACAAAGAAGTAGCATGGAGTAGCAAGGTCTTCTACGGAAGCAGAGTACTGGGCGGTTGCCAACATGGCTTCTGAGGTGAGATGGCTCTGCTCATTACTCACTGAGCTTGGTATCTACCTTCCTACTGCTCCGGTCATCTATTGTGATAATATTGGAGCGACTTATCTATGTGCCAACCCAGTTTTCCAATCTCGAATAATACACATTGCTCTTGACTATCACTTCATACGCAATCAAATACAAGCAGGAATGCTTCGTGTGTTCGCATGTCTCCAATCAGAATCAACTGGCTAACGCTCTTACCAAACCATTACCTCGACCCCAGTTTTAACAAGAAATATCTTAGATAGGAGTCACAAGAGTCCCTTAAGGGCACAATGTATATAGTTTGTATAAGGGTTTATTTGTCATTATATATACCCTAGAGTCTACTTAGTATCTGTATAAATACTTGTACACATACTCTTAATAATATATAACATTCAGTATCTATATGTTGAACAAACTTGGAGATTTAGAAAGCGGCAACGGAGCTGGAGGCACCGTAGGGTCAGGAGGGTCTGGCGGCGCTGGATGGATTGACATCTACAAGAGAGAGAGAGTCGCGCTTGGATGCGGCGAGAGAGTTGAAAGCAGAGTAACAGACGGTGGGGCACGATCAAAAGCCATGGAGGAAAGGACGAATGTGACGTAGATCTCGTCGAAAACACAGGAAGCCCGATGGAAAGCGAGGAATGGTTCATTGGGAAGTCACGAGATGACCCGAGAGAGTAACAGTGTGTTGCTCAGGAGGAGAAACAGAATGGAAACAACAGTGGAGAAGGCTCATCCTTGCTCGGAGAAACGCAACAGTGGCTGCCTCAGTTGTCGGGTCTGGGAGGAAACTTCTAGGGCGAACTTGACCGATGTATCTTGTGGCTTTTACATTATCTCCGAAGAGGAATTGGCTTTTTTGTAGTTAAGCGGTTCCATCTGTTGACAAGGAGAAGATAATTAAAACAATAGAGAGGGCCGACCTGGAGAAGCGGACGTCGGCCGAAAACTATGAAAAAAAACGAAAAACAGATGGTTTTTATCTTATGAATTACATTAGAATCGCCAAACAAGAGAGATGGCAGACGGTTGCAATGTGTAAAATAATTAGATTATATACTTATATAAGAAAATAAGATATTGTTATATTTTTATAAAAATAAATTATATATAAATATACATATTTAAATATTTTAATAATAATACAGATGATAAATACATTGTTATATAATTTAATCATATTAAGATATAATTTTCTGAATTTCTTATATATAGGTTAGAAAACTAATCAAAAATCATAAACTCTATCATTATTGTATATTTACAAAAAATAATAAACATATGATATTAATTTAAAATTAAAATATTCAAATTTAAATAATACTAGAAAAAGTAATAAAATGTGTTTTAAAAATTGAAAAGTAATAAAACAAAAAAGTAAAGTAGGAGATATTTAAAAACTACAAATAAAAAATGTAAACTAATATATATATTTAAAAGATTCATAATATATTAAATTAGATTTGGTTTTAAGTTCTAGAAGATTTTGAATTTGTTTCTAAACCGTCGTCTCATTCATAAAAAATAATTGTTTACGGTTGATATGAATTAACTTTATTTTTTTGAAACTGTAAATTACAAAACATAATTTCTGGATAAGGAAATAAAATATAAGTTTTAAAATTAATTACACGGATCATAATTACACAAATTATTAGTTTTAAAATTTAAATATAACATACGCGTGGAATCTAATTAGATTCTTAAGAAAACAGTAGAAAATAATTTACTTTTGAAATTAATTTAATTAATATTTTTATTAATATCGTAAAAACATCATAGGAAAAAAGTCATAGAAAAAAAGATAAAAAAAATTGGTAGGAAAGTGATAAGAGAATGGTCAGATATTTTCTACAACTTTCCTACCAAATTTTTCGTCAAAATTTTCCTACCAACATTTTGTAGGAAACGTCCTATCATTTTTCTACCTTTTACATTTTTCGACGGTCAATTTTAACAAAATTTTATAGGAATTTGATAAGAAAAAGCTGTTTTCTATGCTTTTTCGATGATATAGTCTATATACTTATTTGTGTAATGATTTGCTGATGTGTCATGCTCACAACGAGTTTCACAGTGTTTCGTTTACGTGTCAGCTCCAGAATGAGTTTTGGCTGCAAAAAAAACCGTTTAGTCCATTTACAATTACGTATCATTTTTTTATTGGTTCTTATCTGATGATATGTAAAAAAAACTTAAAACAAACCAGTCTTAATTATTATGGTTTAGTACTTAATTCCATAGTCAAAAAACTGTTACCGAAATTTAGAAAAAATTAGACAAAAACGTTTTAAAAAAATAGAAATTTACCATTTCTTATGTTTCCGAAATTTAGAAAAAAAATATTTCAAAAATGTTAAAAGAAACAAAAATTGGAATAAAATTTAGAATGTCGTTTCAAACAAAACAAAAAAATAAATTTTATGCTAGAATATCACTAATTATTATAGTGTTTACGATTTCATATATTTATAGGGTTTTTCGTTTTTTTATAATTTTATAAAACTAAAATTTTGTAAAAATCTAAGAAATAAGTTAAAAAAAAACAATAAATGAAATGCATATGTTAATTATGATATCTAGAATAGGATTTTCGATTTCTTATCTATATACTTCAAAAAGATTTTTTAACTCTTTTGTTAAAATCAGAAGCTTATTTGTAAATTTTAGATTCGTCTAACTTAGAACAGAGATAAAAAGAAATTTAGTGTTTTTAAAATCATTTATATATAAAATTACACTTAGTAGACATATATAGTCTATGCGAGACGTGTGCAAATTAATTAGTCTAATATTAAATAAACGTATATTTGTATGTTTTATGATTTATTAATAGGTGAACACTTCTTTTTAGGAAACAGAGACTATAACGCACGTTTAGATTTTAATAGGTAACGCACTTTTTTAGATTTTTTGTTAATTAGTAACAACTAACAGTCTAACAGAGCTCAAGTATTCAAATGGCATATTTTCAGTAGTAAATTACACGTACGTCTAGAACCCCATAAACGTCAAACGGCATATTCTCAGTACAAAGGAAAAAGGAGAAAAAAACCACCCAATATTTCGTTATTGTCGTCAATGCTCGAGACCATCAAAACCCTACATGAATGTGGAAGTGGAACGCTGAAACCACAAGAGACAACTCGTGGATAACCATCATGGCTCCAGCAAGGGCAACATTATTCATCATCTTCACCCCTTTACTAATCATGATTACAGTGACCTCGACGTCGTTGCTTCTTGCCACCGGCGACACAATCCCCACAACTTTGGACGGCCCGTTCAAGCCATTGACCCGCCTGTTCGACCCGTCGCTTCGACGAGGCAGTGACGACTTGCCTATCGATCATCCGAGGTTGAGAAAGAGAAACGCCAACTCCGATTTACCAGAACAGATTTTTCTATCTCTTTCTACTCCAACTTCCATGTGGGTTTCTTGGGTCACTGGTAAAGTAATTCTGATTTTACAATATAATTTCAAAATCAATTGTTACTCCACTTCAAAATTATCAATTTCAAATTTGTTTTTTTTTCAATTTCTAAAACATCTAAGGCTTTGAGTTTGCCTCTTACTCGTATTTGAATAACGAGTGTTACATTTTGCTCGTATTCTTTGTGTGAGGATAGAGTAGCATATCATATTTTGGCTGAATGTTGCTTGTTTTGGAAATCACACAAGTACTATGATTCTTGAATTTTCAATATAAGGCCTTGAAATCACACAAGTACTAGGCTTTGAATATTCCTCTTTACTCCCTATATATTTGTTTGCTACTAATTGTCAGATATGTTCATAATTCTTGTTTAGGTGATGCTGTGGTTGGAAAAGATGTGAAACCGCTTGACCCGACATTGGTTTCAAGCGAGGTTTGGTATGGGAAGGAGAAAGGAAAATACCCGCAAAGAAAGAAAGGAAATGCAACATTTTATAGTCAGTTGTATCCCTTTGATGGCCTTCTCAATTACACATCAGGCATCATACACCATGTCCTCATTGACGGTAATAACGAGAAAGAACGACTTAATCAATCTCTTTTTTTTATTTTCTGGTGTGTATGGAACCATTCCGACTTCATTTTTTTGAGCCAAGCCTTACATAGCTTTAAAGAGTTGACGACAACATTTTGGCTAGGCACCTAATTGTGAAAGAAAACGTTGAAGATATACTATACGAGTGTTTGTTTTTACTATGATTAGTGACTACTCTGGAGACTTCCTTGTAGGTCTTCAACCAGAAACTAAGTACTATTACAGGTGTGGAGACAGCTCTGTTCCCGCGATGAGCGAGGAGATTTCTTTTGAGACTTTGCCATTGCCAAGCAAAGACGCATATCCTCATCGAATTGCCTTTGTTGGGGATTTGGGACTTACTAGCAACACAACCACCACCATTGACCATTTGATGGAAAACGATCCCTCACTGGTTGTGATTGTTGGGGACTTAACATATGCAAACCAGTACCGTACAACTGGTGGCAAAGGAGCTTCATGCTTCTCATGTTCGTTTCCAGATGCACCTATTAGGGAGACGTATCAACCTCGTTGGGATGCCTGGGGAAGGTAAGTGGGTTACTACAAGTTGGATTTGAAGAACTTTGGTCATGTTTGGCTTTTTGTCAAGGTTCACTCTATGTACGCTACTGATCTTCATTTTGGTGGCAAAATTATTTATTTTTGTGTAGGTTCATGGAGCCACTGACCTCCAAGGTCCCAACGATGGTCATTGAAGGCAACCATGAGATTGAGCCTCAAGCTTCCGGGATCACCTTTAAGTCATATTCTGAAAGGTTTGCGGTTCCTGCAAGTGAGAGTGGCTCCAACACCAACTTCTACTATTCTTTTGATGCCGGAGGATTGCATTTTGTTATGTTGGGTGCATATGTTGATTATAATCACACTGGTAAATCCATGGATACATTGTACTTTGATTTCAGCAAAGCACATGCATGCTTTGTACTCTAATGTTTATGAATAATTCTTGTGTTTATTTTAGGAGCGCAGTATGCATGGCTAAAGGAAGATTTATCTAGAGTTGATCGTGCAGTAACACCTTGGCTTGTTGCAACAATGCATCCACCTTGGTACAATAGCTACTCCTCGCATTACCAGGAGTTTGAATGCATGAGGCAGGAAATGGAAGAGCTTCTTTACCAAAACGGTGTGGACATAGTTTTTGCAGGACATGTAAGTTATCCAAATTTTTTTACTGGAATAGAGATTTGATCGATGTTCTTTGATCTCTTCCTCTTGTTGTCGAATTTTGTCAGTGTTTGTTTGAAACTCAGCCATATTGTAGTAGTGAGATAGTGATTTAGAAAAGTTTCTGAAATCTCTTCCCATTGTTACGGTAGGTACATGCATACGAGAGGATGAACCGTGTATACAACTACACACTAGACCCATGTGGGCCAGTTTACATAACTATTGGAGATGGTGGAAACATAGAGAAAGTTGATGTGGACTTTGCAGATGACCCTGGGAAGTGTCCATCCCCGGGTGACAACGTTCCTGAGATTGGAGGATCATGCCCTCTAAATTTCACTTATGGCCCTGCCAAAGGCAAGTTTTGCTGGGACAGACAACCCGATTGGAGTGCCTTTAGAGAGAGCAGCTTTGGGCATGGAATCCTCGAGGTAGGTTTCATAAGCTTTATATGGTTACTCTTCCAAAACACGGATGCTCTTGTAAGATAGAAAGATTCGCCTCTTGCGTTGAGAGCTGATCACTAAAATGTTAAATGTGTTGATGCAGGTTGTGAATACAACGCACGCCCTGTGGACATGGCAAAGGAATCAGGATGTTTATAAGAACGAAAGATACGGTGACCAAATCTACATTGTCCGTCAACCAAATCTCTGCATCTCCTCTTTAACTTCAAGGTACTAATCCAATATATCTTACTTCCTTCGTTTCAGAATATAAATCTTTTAAGGTTTTCACACATTCTAAGAAAATTATTTAATTTTCTATTTTATCTCTTATTAATGTACTAAATATTATATTCACACTAATTAATTAATTAAAAAAATATGGATACAAGTGAAAATTTTCAATTGCATTGAAAACCGAGAACGACAATTATTTTAAAACAAAAAATCAATCCTAAAACGATTTATATTTTGAAACAGAAATAGTATTACAGAACACTGAATCTTTCAACGTGGACTTGAAAAATATGATAATTTTTACTCACAATAGTATAATCTTTTGTTAATTAATATCACAACATTTTTTCAAAATAATAATATGAATAAAAAGAAAAAATAATATAAAATTTCTTCTTTATTGTTAATATTAATATTATGTGTTTAAATAAAGTTGGAAATTTATTTGAAAAGTGTCAAAATATAACTAAAATTTTATTAAACATGTATTAAAATCTGATCAATTAACTTAACACGTAGGACAATCAGTGGCGGAGCTACTTGGTCTAAGAGGGGGGCAGCTGCCCCCAGTCAAATTTGTTTAATTAATGCAAATTATTAAGGTATTAAATAGATGCCCCCATTCATAATATTTTTTTGCCTCCATAACTAAACTATTTGGACAACATATATTTTTGCCCCCACTAAGAAAATCTTCTGCCTCGGCCACTGAAGACAATTATATGCGAGTTCTGTTTTATATAATAAGATACTACGTGATCCATATACATTTGACATTTTGAACATATTGGCTTAATGAAAAGGGAATCAGGCAAAAGAAGGGAGAAATCAGGCGGCAAATCTGGAGTTTCCTCACCCTCATTACCAATGTTAATTTGGACAATCTTCATGTTTGGCACTTGTAGGTCCGGTTTTGCTGGACATTTTATATAAAACGTGTGTTACAACATTCATGGTTTGCTTTGTGATTGCTCTGAATTTTCTTTTAATCTCTTTTTTATCCTTTTTAATGATCTGTAGGCTGTAGCTATGAGCTATTTACAAAATACTTATTTGCTTAATTCCTAAATCTGACAGACAGCCAAAACACTCCATGGCTTTTGTATGCCAAAACACTCCATGGCTTTTGTATGCCAAAACACTCCTTCTGTGTACCCAAATGCCTTGATATGCATATAATTGCATAAATATCCTAAAAAAATAAATATTTCTTTATTCAAACTAAGATTGGCAATTTATCTGCATATGCAAGCACCTGATGAGGCAGCATCCAACTATTGTTTGGTTCTCGCCATGGGAAGTTTGTCCTCTTTTATCTGTTTTGGTCACTGGAAAACACAAGAAGATTTTGCTTGGAAATATACATGTACGACTTGTTTCATTTACATTTCATCCTCTTACATTACTTTATGTCTCATTATTGCAGTTAGCTCTAGGATTGTTCTTTTCTGGTAAAATGAGTTGGTTCACTTCTCTTGTATAGAATCTTCCTAACAAATCACAAGGCTGAGTGTCTGTTTGGGCACTCACCCCCCATCCCCCCTAGTTAAGCGGGACTGCGTGCATTTGCACTGTGTCCCAATATGTAATCCATCATAATCGGTGCTATGAAAGATCCTCATATTAGTCTCAAACTGAATAGAGGGAATGTTGATATCAAAGTAATGAATTTTCTTCACAGGGCTTTAGTTTACAAAGTAGTTTGCGTTTTCAGCGTCCAAAGGTTTCGAGATTGGACAAGCTAATAGTCTTGTATTCAATAAAAAAGAGTGAATAGCTAATAGTCTTGTATCCAATCACAAAGAATGAGTAGCTAATATCCTTGTATTCAATCACAAAGAATGATGTTTAAAAATCAATTCGGATAATGGTGGTATATTTTTAAACCCAGTAATTCGAGACCTAATTTTTTTAAGCATTTGTGTGGCGGTATTAGTGAAGAACTTGTGCTAATACAATGATTCTGATATCAAGAAACGTAACAAATCAAAATATTTTGCTGGTTTTTATGTTATGATGAGTGTTAAGATCTCTTAACCAAATAGACTGACAACTGAACAAAAGAAGAAATAAGTGACTAGCTCTTCGTGAGGTTGCACTTAATCCACTTCCAATGATTTGTTGTTCATATTCAGAACATTTTACTTATCGTTAGCCTAGGAAAAGTTTTTTCTGACCTGAACTATTGACAAATGTTAAATTCATTCGCGACTTTGTATCCGGTGCTTAAACATACTTCAAGTTCTCCAAGAACTAACTTATATCATTTTGTTTTTCTAGTTTTTTTTTGAATTGAATGTAAAATTTATTCCCGAACCAGACTTGCATTCCCTCCTCATCTTCTCTTTTTTCTTTCAACAAATGGAACCCGAAACCCGAGTCACATACACACACAATTTGGGGAATTCTTCACATAAGTGGTTAGAAACGATTGACGTATCTCCGTGATAATATTTTTTTAAGTGTAGGATAATAAGATGTCAGTGGATTTAATCAATATAAAAGTAAAGTAATCTTACTATGGTTTTGAGATGATGGTCAAAATATACTTTTTCTTTGGGATTAGAGATGGACAAATAATTTGTTTACTTTGTTTGAAAGACGGACTTGGTCAGATGAAATTTCATATATTGTTTTGCTTTGAGTTTTAGGTCTCAGACTATACGGGCCGTGTACATAAATCTACATAAAAGATGCTCTGGATATATGTAAATTTCTGATCAAATGACATATTTGCATATTGTTTTACATCTTTTACTTGTAATGCAAACGATAAATCCATATTTTCTGGTCTTAAACAACCACACACAGACATATCATTGATAAACACATATAACTGATTTTGAGGGTGGAATGGGAACTCCAAAATATAATTTTTGAATCTATTAAGAAGCATATGGTATCCCGAAATACAATTTCTCCTAGGATAAATTCGGATTATGAAGAGCATTGGTGTTATGTTAGATGGTTCCGGGAAGCAGCCTAATGTTTTTTCAGGATTATGATTATATTATTTTCAGAAGGGCGTTGAAGGAACGATAAAAGGAGTAAAGAATATTCGTAAAATTCCTCATCTCTACACGCTGAATTAAAAAAAGTTATATAGACACTGCATTCTATGATTGCATTACAATAGATAATATATAACTGTTTTTACAACAAACTGTTCCGAATTGGTGAATATAGTGTCTTGCATTGATGAACTGGTCTGCATTATATCTCCATAATATAGTTGGGTTTTACTCCATTTTAACTCTATTCTTTACTCCAAAATAAAATGATTAAACCTATTTATTATTCTACATTTGGAGTAATTATATTAATTACTCTATTTAGAGTAAAATATAGAGTGTGGTTAGATGTAATGCTTTAAACTCTATTTTGGAATCAGATTTGAAGATGGTTTACGGAGGTTTTTTTTTCTTTATTTTTTCATGCTACGTGAAAACAAAACAAAGATGGATAAATTAGCATAAGTGCTCATGTGTCATGTCTACCATTCTAAAATATCATATGTAGATTCAGTATCATCAGCTTGGATTTCTGAACTTTTTTAATTATCTTTTCTGTTTATTAAAAATAAAATTTATCAAGCGAATATATACTGGGACCCTTGCTCTCTCAAAAAATTACTAAAAATAGGAATCTTGATCTAAATAATATGACTATCTATACCATAAAAACAAAAGCATTTTCGGAATATGTTTCCAAACATTTCTTATTTTTTAAAATAAAATTAGTTAACAATTAAATTAGTTCTTAGTCCTCATTTCACATTTTATATATAACAAAATATAATTTACAAAAAAATTATATCCCAGCAATATATATATTTCAAACTTCAAGCTGGGATAAAAAAATTGAACGTAAATTAAGTTTTAACCAAATCTGACTCATCCAGAGAAATACAATGTGTGCATGTTCGAAACTCAAATTAAGAGTTATGATCGATTGGCCACTATCTAACCGAAGGCCTAATATTCAGAGTTATCAATGGTTCTGGCTTGGGTTAGTGCATTGATGGCTAGAGATGTCAAACGGGTCAACCTGCGTCCAAATAGTCTGATCCGATGCGGGTTTAAATTTTTTTTGGGTCTTGTGGGCTGCCCCATCATAAGCTGCGGTTCCAAATTGATATGTCCAAGCCCGACCCACCTATACTCTACGGGTTTGCAGGCTGGCCCGCGGATTCATATTTTCTTCTTCATCTTAAAGTTTTTATGACATTTAGACTTATAGAACCAGAAAATCTATAAGAAGAAAATAAAGTTTTGCTCGTAACTGAATCACAATATGCATAAAAAACAAGACTAAAGAAAATTCTTGTCTGAGTAAATTCGATGAACAAATAAACGAATTCGATAAATCTCTTATACAAAACTTCTAGCCCTAGGATGCTATAAGATTTGAAAAATCAGTTTAACGGTAAGAATAGACACTTAGTTTTAAAAAGCAAATAAATGAATTACAAATAATGATACACATCAAAACTGGTAATTTAAGCTAGAGAACCATCAAAATACAAGCAACAAGACATTCACATATAAAATAAAAAAAAATAGATGAACAAAGCTTATTTGTTAGTCCAGCGTACAAACAAATATGGTTCTCAAGCAAAACTATTTATTGTCAATTCAAGATTTAAATGATTCTAAATTGTCTTTACATCACTGCAGACAAAATAAAAACCACGTCCGTGATATAGTCGATGAGCAAAACTAACAAATTAAAAAAAAAAGCAAACTTATGATATTAAACTAAAATTAAAACAAACAAAAAAACTAGTTTTTGGCTGGAAAGACAACAACCAGATTTTTTCCCAAATTCAAAAATCGAGTCACAGAATCTGAATCGAATCAAATATAAAACACATACCAGTTTGATGATTCCTTGATCTCATTGAAATGAAGCTATCATAAAGCCCAATAGCTGAATGGTGTGACTCCACTAGACTTCAATTCACTCCATGAAACTACTACTTCGAAATCCACCAATCAAAGATGAAAAAATATTTCACTTTTCGATCTTTACAAGAAAACATTAAATTCTGCGGTCGGACCGCAATCCCGCAGATCTGCTCTGACCCGACCCGTAAAAACTTAACTTTCATGTGGGTTTAGACCGTAAAACCCGCTTTTTATTTGGACAAATTTTATGGAGCCCAAACCCGCACTGCTGCGGTTCTAGTTAGGCCAAACCCGCGGGTCAAAGCTCAATTTGACACCTATAATTGATGCTGATAATACGCTGTTTGAAAGGTAAGTTGGGCAAGCCTTCTAACATAAAATAGCGGAAGGGATTATCGACCAGGACAAATGCGAAAAAATTGTTTTTCCCCTTTTTGATTTTACGTGTGTTATTTTATTTTTTCCATATTACCTTAGTTTTGTTTCATTAAACAAAAAGTTAGTTTAGTTATTTTTGATGAAAAAAAAAAACACTATTGCCTTGTTAAAGGGATGATAAGTTTGTCTACAAAACTTCATTTGGTCATTTAGAGAAAAAACCTTGTCTAAGGGATCATAAGTTTGTCTACAAGACTTCATTTGGTCATTTAGAAAAATTGCCTTTAAATATATTAGATTTTAATGAATTTCGGTTAGCTCAATTGGGTTTTACATAGTTCGGAATTCGGTTCGGCTAGAAATCGGGTAATTTGATATTATTCCATTCAGATTATTTTAAAATTCGGTTTAGATTCGAGTTCAAAATTTTGGTTTGATTCGGAAAATTTTCCCAACCAGCCCTAGTCAAAAATATATCTATGTAGTTGGCGGGAAAATTTAGAGAAACTAAAAGCTAAAAACAATAAAAATCCTCTTTTCATCAGAAGGCGAGCCACGAGTAAGAGAGGAAGAACAATGAAGAAACCAATTCCTAAAATTAGGGTTTTTGGTCAGCGATCGATTGCCCCTTCTTTCCTGAATCGCACCTCGATTCCGTAAGCGTGTTGCAAATCTCTCTTGATTTGCTAAATTCGTCTGCTCCCCTTATCCCGATACTTTCTCATGTTTAGAAATCTGTTCGACAGTGATGAAGAAAATCCGTCGAAGAAATTGGACAAGTCTGCTTCGTTTTCAGATTTCCTCGACAGCAAGCTGAGCAAATCAGTGCTCTTTAAGGACAAGAACATAAAGGTATTTGATTGCCTGTGTTTGAAGAACTTTTAAGGTCGTTGCTTGAATCTATGGTTGGTCTTGAAAAAGTACTTTAAGGTTGAGTTGGTAGAAGTTAGTGTTCACCCTTTCTTACTGTCTTTTTAGTTCTTTGGGGATGTAATAGATTAAGATTGTCTGGTTCTTTTGATTCCTGAACAGGGCTCATTGGTTAGCTCTAAAGATCTGACTCCACTCTCTCATGGGTTTGGGATTGAGAAAAAATGCAGGGAAGAGAAGAAATTTAGTGATGTTGGTCTTGAAAAGACAATGCTTCAGCAATTCAAGCCAAGAGAGACTCAGGTAAGTGAAGAAATGACTAGGGATGGTACTACGGGTGACACCACAGCTCTTAAGCCGTTGGATCGAACCACTGCTGAAGAAATCGATCTTTTGACTTCGTGTTTCACTGAAATCAGTGAAGATATCATTGTGAAGGACGATAAATCAACAAAGAAAAGAAAAGATCCTTTTGAAGGTGTGTCTTTACTCTTTACTTGATGTTTTGTTCCTCAGGTCAGCATGCACTTCTTTTTCTTGTTGGCTTAGACCAATGATCTTAGTCTTTTCATGGAATGGTTAATGACCTTTTTAGGTAACAATAGTTGATAAAAGTGTATACATTGAATTGCTAGGTATGGAGAGCATGAACAGAACGGGAAAGCCTGTGATAGTCTTTGGAGACAACTCAAATGCATCAAAGCCGATGCAAGGGAAAGGCGAAATAGGAAGAAGCAGCTGTAGTAAGAAGCAGAGACCTGCATACAACCATTGTGAGTGATACTAAGTTTAAATTACTAGAAACAAAACTCTTTTGTAGTCCATACTTCTAAACTTCCCAACAGATGCAAATGGTTCAGGATTTTGGGACTGTGACATGGAAGGTGTTGACTCAGAAGAAGTTGGACATAGTGAAGTCTGGGAGGGAGTTGGTTCGACTACGTTCGGAGATATAGTTGATTGGCACTAACAAATAGCAACCGGGTCGGGCCATGTTTAAGAGTGAAAAAAGATTGTAACTAGCCTAGCTAGCAGAGTCCTTCGTTTGGTAAAAGTTTATGTTCCTGAAGTTATTTGATCTATCGACTTTCTTAAAAGTTTGTGCATTGTATATGTTGTCGCTAAACAGATGCTGATAAGTAGGATCAAAAAAGGAGATGGGGGTGAGAGATGCTCGAACTCTTGACCTCAAAATTACTCAGAAAGCTATTGAGACCTATGTGTCATTCTATGCCACCGCATTTGAACTTATGCCGAGACAATCGTGTTTTTACAAGATACAGATCAAACTTCAAACTGATATACAGAAGAGTTGTACATTTGTCTTCATAATAAACATGTATGACTACATAATTAAGAAAATGTGTCTTGTGAACGAAACATAAACCTTGATTATTTGCCATCGCAGACATCGCAAACTGTAAAGCCAAGACCTTCACAGTAGGCACACTTCGTATCTTCACCAACCCACTCTATAAACTACAACCATACAACATTGAAGAAGAGCTTCTCCGCTTTAGGATACTTGGAATATACATATACACATAATCAAAGCAAGGTCGTTTTTATTTTACTCACCTGCGGTTCGATGTTTGGTTCACCGGTTCCATCGCACTCTACATCAACCAAAATCCTCATCAGGTTTTCATTTTAATATAATCAAATAATCTACTACAACTCGGTGTGTGAAGTGTCACTAAGAATATCGATTTGTTGCCTACATTGGAAGCAAGATTCTACCGTTTTTCTACTTTCGGTTTCTATTAGCACTCTTGATTCTAGCCTTCCTTCTTAACTTTTAAAGAACTGATGATTTTCACTTAAACCAGGGTCATAAAGGGATTTACCTAGGCACAACAATCGACCTTCCCCTCGACAAGTGATGCACTTTGTTTTGGTATCTGTAGATTTACTTCCGCCTACCGGTTTGTTGAGCCTGGACGGATCTTCCCATCGGTTTTCTCCGAGAAGGTACACCCGATATTGAGAACTGTCACTTTGATCTTTTGTGATTGCCTGCTGCTTCTCAGAGACCTGTGTCTTCACCGGTCCATTACCAGCTTCCTTGATCAAGGGAGATGAAAGAATTGTTCAGCAGAAAGAATAACTCTTACAAGGTTTAAAAATATTTCTCAGAATATCTACTTTCCCTATAATCTCAAACAAGATAAAGTATTTTTCTCCTTTCATCAATGGTTTTTAACACTCATATTAGACACTAGTACACAGAAACATTATCTCAAGGACATAGCTAAGAAGGTATAAGATAACAAGCTTGTGACGCCAAACCATATTATAGGAGTCCACATTAGGTTATAGGGAGACTGCATAGAGAGACCAGACTGCATAACTAACCCAAAGGATTGCTACATAGCTAAAAGTAAGTGTGCTAGAAACGAGTCATGACTTTAAAAAAACTAATGAAGACCAAGTTGTAGTGGTTTCAGTTTTTACCACTTGCTTCCTTGTACTTGCTTCGTCCTTATCCGTTATTTGATCCATGAACAACCTCTCAAGGAGCTCTTCTGTCATTATCCCGTCCTCACGGACGCCAAGCGTTGCCTTTCGAAGCAAAACATAAATAGTCTCAGCAACCAAAAACCGCATCAGAAACACGAGAAATCAAAGGTGAGCTATATAAAAAACAAGAACATACTTGCCAAGTCATTACAGCGCTTTCTGTCCCACTTGAGAAGCTGGAAAACTCCATGTCCTCCTCTCCTGAATAGAATCCTAATTTGAGCAGAGCTTCCTGTCACATGGAGGAGACAAAAGAAATCATCAAGAAAAGAGCAATCCTCAAACACTTCCAACTTAAAGACATCTCAAAATTGTTCATTTCAATCAACAAATAGCTCGCTGAAGATGGCTAGACGAATATGACACAATTATAAGCTCTAAATCATCATTAAGCCTAATCTTTCAAAAGTATGATGAAGAAGTATTTCAAGATCATCATTAAGCCTAATCTTTAAACATTCATCTTCTATAGTTCGATCAATTTCAGCTTTGATACAACTAGATCGATGACGGGTTCACTCGCCTTTGTTCTAAAACCGAACCTGCATAGCTTGAACCTCTTCGCCTTCGCTTCCCACCTTCAATGTCCTCCTCTTCTTCTTCGTCACCGTCTCCAAAACCCTAACTTTCTCCTCAGCAATCACAGCCTTCACTTCCTCCTCCTCTTCATCTTCTTCCTCCTCGGGTTCCCTCGTATTCTCCAATACCATCGACGTTACACTCGACCCACTCTCCGAAATCCGATTTTTATCCTTCAGAACCTGTAACAGAGCAGCAATGTTCGAGATCGTATCGGGAACGGAAGTCCCCTGCTGCGGATTTCGAGATTCTAGGGTTTGGATACGGAGCTGGAGATCGGAAATTTCGCGTAGGAGCGATTCACGCTCGCGAATCCACCTCTGTTCCTCTCGAAGCCATCGCTGCTCCTCGCGAATCCATCTTTGCTCTTCTCGGAGCCACCGTACCTCTTCGCGGTCGTAGCCGGAGGGGTTTTGAGTGGAGAGGCAAACGAAGGAAGTAGGAAGAGAGAGAAAAAGAGGGGAACATCTGAAAGGAAGAGCTCGAGCTCGGGATCGAAGAGGAAACGGGAGAGCGAGAGGAAGAGACGAAGAGGCCATTGAGAGGATAAACTCGAGAAAAATGCTTTTCCATTATTTATTTACCACTCGCTTAGCTTTACCAGATGGCGGGAAGATAATATTTTTTTTTTTATCTCTTCTTTTTTTTTGATTTTAATCCTTTTCTAATTGAATTTAGAATAATTGCATTGAAGTCTAAACTCGAATTTGCGGATATAATCATGGGTTACTGTTTTAGGTACTGTTGTTTTTTTGGAGAATTTTTTTTAGAGAAAATTAGAAATTTAGGACAATTTCCCAAACCATTTGTCCTTTTAAGATTTACTAGCTTAAACATTAAACATTGTCCCTTTAAAATTTATCATATCATATATAATATATATGCAAAATAAAATTTTGAGTCAAAGCTCTCTCATTCAATCTTAGGGTGGCTAATTAATCTTTACCCCTTCTTATATTTTTTAAATTTAAATCTCATAAAAATTATTAAAAATCGTAAATTAATCATCATCATATCATATATATTATAAGTAAAGTAAAAATTTGGGTCAAAGCTCTCTCATTCAATCTTAGGGTGGTTAATTACCATTTACCCATTCTTATATTTTTTAAATTTAAATCTAATAAAAATTATTAAAAATCGTAAATTAATTAAAAAATATTAAAAAACATAAATTAATTAAAAATTATGAAAATTTTTAAAATTAATAAAAAATTATTTAAAATCGCAATTTAATAAAAAAAATTTAAATTTAATAAAAATTATTAATTAAAAATCAGAATTTAATCAAAAAATCTTTAAAATAGAAAATAAAAAAAAATTTAAAAATTGGAATTTAATCAAAAAAACATTTAAAATCATATCATATATAATATATGCACAGTAATTTTTTCGCTATAAGCTCTCTCATTCAATCTAGGTGACTAATTACTCTTTATTCTTTAATAAAATCTTTTTAAATATCCTTAGTTAATTAATTTATATTCATAATTTGTATAACAATTTTGCTGTTATTTTCATACAAATTATCAAAATAAAAGAAGAAAAAAACGGTAGATGAAGAAAATAAAGTATAAGAAGATGAAAACCCGAAGATGCAAAAGAAAAAATAGAAGAAAGTAAAGATGTGAAAAAGACAAACAAAAATTAGAAAAAAAGTTTGGATAAAAAAATGACCAAGAAGAAGTAAGAAGCATAAGATAAAAATGACTAATAAAACCAAAAGAAGAAGAATAAAAGATGTGGAAGAATAAGAATTTAGAGAATACAATGACAATAAAAGAAAACAAAGAAGATGGGGCAGACAAATAAAACAAAGTAAATCAACAGAAAAGAACGAAGAAAAAACCGAATGAAAAAAAATTAAGAAGTCAAATAAGATGAATACAATACATAAGATGAAATAGTCAAAAATAATAAAAGATAAGAAAGAAAAAACAAAGAATATGAAAAGCTAAACAAATAAAGAAAAAGGAGAAGAAAAAGAAAACAATGAAAATATGAACAAAAATTAATACAGTGAACAACTAAGATAAAAAAAAGCCGGATAGGTCGAAGACGATGAACAAAAAAATCAAATGACCAATTGGAGAAGAAAAAAAAAGATAATGAGAAGAAGAAGTCATAGAAGAAAACCAGTAGATAGTAGACGAAGTGAAAGAAAAAAATAATAAAAAGGAAGAAAACTAGAAGATGAAGAAGACAAATTAGAAAAAAGGTAAATATGATGAAAAAATGAAGACAAATAAGAAGTAAAAAAAGATGAAGACAATAAAGAAGAGCAATTTAAAAACAAATAACGATGAAGAAAAACTCAAAAATACAAGGAAAAAAAAATTAAGAAAGGAAAAATATAGACCAGAAGAAGAGTAGAAAGACAGATAAGACAAAGATCTTTAAAATATGATGAAGAATTTGGAGAGAGGAAGATAACTGGAAGAAGAGGAATAAGAATCCATAGAAGGAGAAAAAAATAAAATAGAAGACAAAGTAGAAGAAGAAGAAGATAGAAGAAGTCGGTGACAACAAAGAAGACGATAGCAATGAAAAAGGAAAAGAAAAAAAAAAGAAGAAAGAGAATAATAAAACATTGAAGAAGAAGAAGAAAGAGAATAAAATCTGGAATAGAAGAAAATCAAAAGATGTATGAGAGGAAGAAGAAAAATATGTGGAGAAGAAGAAGAAGACATGAAAAAGAAAAACCGGAAAAATAAGAAGTAAGAAAATACATAGAAAATAAAGAAGAAAAAAATAGGAAAAAAAAACAAAAAAGAAAACAGAAAAAAAGAAAGAAAGAAGAAAATGATAGAGAAAAAAAATTAAAAGATAAAAAGAGAAGAAGATGAATAATTTATATTAATTTTGATTTTAGTTTGTGTTTATTAATTTTATACACTTATTAATATTAATTTTAATGTATTTAATGTTAAACAATGATTATCATAGATTAGCTTTATTTTAATTTTGTATGTATCAAATTGTTGATTTAATTCTTTTTGATTTCTGACGTAAAATAAAATTTTACGTTTCAATGAAACTCTTCGGCCTGCGCAAGGCGCGGGCTAAACACCTAGTTTTAATTAAAACCCAAAATTATCCTTAATTTTTTTATTCTAGTAATTTTTGTTTGGTTTTTTAAAATTCTGCAAGACCTTAAAACCGTATTCGCTGGGGTTGAAGACGATTTCCAGATTCTAAGGTTTTGAATCACACATATGTATATGTATACGACCCGTCGACACATACATATAAATACCCTTATTTGTTCTGCATTTCTTTCTTTGCGTGTGCTGCTACTTTCATTTTGGCGTGAAATGACTATGTTCCTCTCTGTGTAAACCGTTTTTTCTTCGTTTTGGAAAGCCATATCACCAACGTTCACCATGTGTTCGACCATTTGTCCCAGTGACCAGTGTGACTAGGCTTTCCGATTGTTGTTATTCATTTATTTTGAAGTTCTCATTGTCATAACAGAGAGATGTTTTCTCTGAGATTCTCGAGCTCAGCTAAGCTCACCCACTCCATAACTATTGCTACAGAATTTGTAAACTCCTAATACTTGTCTTTTATGGATTTGCTTTAGGTTTTGTTCATACATAATCCTACTCTGCCAAGGTTTTGCTTTATGAATATGAGACTTTATGCACATTCTTACAAGAAACAAGATTTGTCATCACTATTTTCTTGATTAGTATAGCTTGTAGGATTGTAATCAAGTAACTAGAGTGGGAATCAGCTGACATGTGGGATAATGTGTTCACGTTCTTCTTTATATATAGTGCTCCATGCAAATAGGCGACTCATCTAGACAATTCTTATCACCAAACAAATTAAATTTGTTTATTATTAATGTATTATTATTGTACTTCTCTGTTCAGTCCAAGTTGAGAAGTTAAAATGTGTCTGACGTGTGTTTGAATTGCAGGAGCAACTAGAGAAGAAGAAAGCATAGTAATTAGAGAAGATGAAGAATAAGGTTGCAGTGATTCACAAGAAAGCCAAAGAGAGGAGAAGATATTCTTCAAGCAGAAGAAAGTACTGCTAAATACAGAGCCACTAGAATTGCAAATAGAATTTCAAGAGTTCTCAATTGTAAAGTGTAAACATTCTTTCTTATGTTTTCGATGGCTTGTAATCGTGTTTGTGTACTGTTCTTGTGTGTAAAGACTACGTAGTGAAAAATTTGTCCATTCTTTTATTTATACAATTTTCTAAAGCATTATTAAATCATAAATAGGAGACCTTTTTGGTGATCAGGATTAAGTTAAAGTCCAGATCACTTGCATCACAGTTCCTGTGTTTGATAACAGATATGTTTGATAATGGATATGTGGATTTAAAGTCGTAGGAACATAAGATAACTATGTACATATACTTTCTGTTTCTAATGTTTATGGAAATTACTGAGCTGAGTGAGCTCCATTTGTTTGGTATTAAGATTTGAAGCTAGCCAATTTGTTGAAGAAGTGTGAGAAGATAGTGAAAAGAGCTAAGCAGAGAAGAAAAAAATTTGTGGAAGAGAAAAAAAAACATGGAAATAAATCCAAATATTTAGTGTGGTGGATAAACACATGAATACTAAATTTTCTCAGATTCTGTTAACGACTTAATAGAATATATGTTCTACATTACGTTGAACAAAGAATGTTTACTAGAATGCACATTCTAGTAAAATGTAAAACGTAACGAAAAGTATAGAAAATGCATTCTACAAGCTGTAGAACGATGAAGAGTCTATAGAATACCTATTCTATACGTAGAATGAAGAAGAACATGTAGAACATCGATTCTAAGTTTTGTAGATTGTATAGGAATGTCTAGAAAACATATTCTATAAAACCGTAGAATGTAGAATACGTTTTCTAGGTGTTGTAGAAAATAATTTTATAAAATTTAAAATTTTCCATAGCTAATTCGGTAATTAGTTTATTTTCTTTATTTGGTATTTTTGAATTTTTCTAAAAAAAATTAAACATTAAATTTGAATTTCTGAATTTAATGTAATCATTAATTAAAGGGTAATTAAGTCCAAAAGTGACAAAAGTCCAAAAAATCTTATAGGGACAATTGTTTGTAAAATGTGTCCTAAATTTACAATTATCCCTTGTTTTTATAATGCCAATTTAAATCAGATTTTTCTTTTTAATGTTTTCTAAAAATTTTTTGTCCTCTTAATATTTAAATTAAGACCATCATCAACGCGGTTTTCAAGACCGTCTCTTAACAATATTCTGATTAAAAATAATCAGTATAAGAGATTTTGACTTAGAGACGTTTCTTATTTGGGGACGGGAAGCGTTTCTTGAAGACACATGTTATCTCTCCATTGGGTAATAGAATTAGGGGAAAAAATGATGCATTTTCGATGGATATCATAAACTATTCGTTCCTCCGCCTCCCGGCAAGTCCGTTGGTCCGATTTCGAGTCCTCTCGAAGCCTTACTTCTCTCTGATCGACAGTTCCGATTTCATAGCATCCCATCTCAGTCCTGATGCTCTTATATACTCTCTCTCCTGGTATGAATCAAAATCTTCTTTCTCCTCATGTG